TATATATATATATATACAGGGTACATATATTGGGTAAAAAAAAACTTCAGAATATTGGTTTATTTTACATTTTCATATTAGAATGCTACTTAATTTCAATAAAATAAAGATAATTATGATATATTAACCTTTATAAGCATCTTCAAAACTAAAACATTTTAAAAAAATAGTATTTATAAATTTGTTGCAGATATTAATATCATAGGTTATCTTCACTACTGTGAAGCATAGATAATTTTAATTTAAAAAAAAAAATAATAAAGAACCTTCTGGTTTATTTTTCAAACACTTACACTTCTTAGTTTTTTCAAAAAGAAGTAACTAAAATTATCTTAATGAACAATTCGATTAATCGCTATACCACAGTAGAAACTTTTTGCAATTTCTGTTTCTCCTCCATAACTAATTTAAAGTATATAAAAATTAAGTTCAGGCAAACCTACAGTAAGCCATGAAGTTTCAATTGCTGAAAAAAACTTTAAAAAATTAAAATAAAAACAAATTATTGGAAGAGAACTTCCCCAATTGCATAATCCTAAGTTATCTTGTCAAAGTAATTTTCAGATTATAAAATTCTCATAATAATACCATATTTATTAATAATAAAATGCACATACATTTTACATTAAAAAAGTGACTATTGACAGACAACTTTTTAATCCCCAATTACTATAGTTAGTTAATATGTGGAGATTATTAATTTTGCCCAATAGTTGGTTCGATTATTCCTGATTTTTCCTATGCAGGATAGTGGGGAAGCCAGATAATAGAAAGCCTACTGTATTTTCTAACAATATTTATTATCAATTGATATAAGAAGTAAAATTATTGTGGCTCTAAGAGCTAAAAAAAGTTTGTTTTATTTTGTGTCTTTTTTCAAAAGAGGTTGTTCACTCCTATTTTAGTTACTTATTTACAGCAATGGTTCCCAACCTGGGGGGGGGGTGATCATCCTAGAGAGAGAGATATGGCTCCTCAGATGGAGATCTGTATTCAACAGGAAAAAAAATTGCAATTAATAATAATATTTAATAAAAACAGCGAATTCCTAATCTGGGCCCGTCAACACATTTAGTAGAAAGAAGATTTAGTTCGGTCATCCAGCTTCTCACAAAACAAAGAAGTAGGTTGGACACTTGCTTCAATGAGACCTATGCTTAAATTTGACAAACAAAAAGCCTGATATTCAATCTTTAACTGAAATCCTCCAAGCACAAGGCAATCATAGAAGAGGTAAAAATGAACAATTAAGTTTTCAAATTTTTATTTTTTTTTCTCACACTTTAATTGTTAAAGTTTTCAATTTCTCCAGATTATATTAAAAAAATAAATTTTAAAAAAATATACTCTTGTTTCAATTATTTTGCTTCAAACATCACCTTTTTTTAGAAAAAAAAGTGGATTTTTTATTTTAAATTTTCTAAAGTGACTGGATAAATTTGCTTCATTATTTATATTTTAATTTAAATCAAGTTAATTTAACATGCAGTCAAATTTATTGATGATCACTTGCAACAATAAATTGTTTTTTTTTTTTCAATCAAAAAGAAAAGGGGGCGATTACATTTGTGTTTTAACGGTTGGAAAACACTGATTTACAGGAATTCTTCCTTTTACCTTGATGAAAAGTATCAGTAGCATTCTTGGACAATAATTTATTCCAGCCTCCTTTTTCTAAGTATCCTTTATAAACAGTGTCAGATATTCCATCAGGAAGCAAGATGTTAGGTGGGAAAGTGTCATGATTACCAATACATGGATAGATGGGTACGTTTGGAAAAGATGAGTAAAGGAGTTCAGTTATATTGTTTATAGCTTCAAATGTCACATCCCAGTCAGGGTTAAAATCCTCTGTATGTGGAAGATTATCACTAAAATTTAGAAAGAAAAAAAAACAATAAATTATTAAAACTGAATATTTTAGAAAGTTTATTCACATTAGTCAATCAAATTACATAAAAAAAAATCATAACAAAAATGCTAAGAACAGGGATTGTATTTTGTCCAGACACAGAAAAAATGGACAAAATAAAAAAAAATTAAAAACACTAGTTAAAATGAACAAAAATAAAAATATCATTACAATTATTTAGCAATCAGTATTATAATTACTATTAAATTTAAAGAATTGTCAACTCATTTATAATTAAATTCAATATTGTATCAGATAGTAGTTAAAAAGTTTCACACATCAACTCTTTTTTAAAAAAAAAAACTAATTTACTATTGTTTACTTTAGTTTTAACACAGAATTTTATAACCTATAAATCATAAATTTAAGAATCTGTCTGAGTAAAATACTTAACAGTATTTGATAATAAAAATTCATATAAATATTTCCAATTTTGAATTCAATAAGAGACTTGTTAATTCAGTATTATTAAAAGAAATATGATTATGATATTTTAACAGTTCTTAAAAGAATTATAGATTAAGATTCTACTAATCTCATTTACATAAAATA